TTACACATAATCGATTTAGAAATCCTCCTAAAACCAATACAACACCAACTTTTTCTCGCAATTGTATGCAACTGTAACTGTATATATTAGTAAGAAGATGTAAACGTCATTTCAGGATGTTACAAAAACCCGACGGGACATAAAAATGAAGTTATGGGTAATATTTCACAACTCTAAATGCGGGTTTGCGCTTGTTAGGTGCGTACAGGGAATACTGATGAAATGAAAAGCAAGGAGGAGAATTTTTTTGTTTTCTCTCTTATCGCCTCCCCTTCTGTTGCAGCCTTGGTTGAAAAAAAAAAACTGAATTAGATTGCGTCACACATTTCATACCATAAACTTATGTAACATCAGCCTAACCTTCAGTCGTTCATTCCTCCTTTTTTAGCCTTTTCTACTGTTTTATTCTTTTCTTTACTTTTTTTTTCTGCTATCATAGCCAAGATCCAACCCCTGTATGAGACATCCACACCCTCTATTTGCTGCTGCCCACTATGACACGATGCACTTTCTCACATTTTCTTTTTCAGTTACAAAAGAAAACAACAAGAGTGACAGGAAGAGTGAGAGGAAAAAGCAGAGAGCATATTGTTAGAAAAATTACGTGAAAGGGCCAAAAAGGTGTCTATGGTAAACAGACAGCAAAGGTGAAGTTGAGATTGTTCCTTTTTCTATTGGTCGTCTCTGTGGTCAGTAAAGCTAAACACCCAGCACCACTACAACCCACCAAATCTAATTACTGCACCTCCCAAGCACATATTTCACAGTTCTCTACTCTTCTCAAATAACAAGATGTTCAGAAATCGCAGCGCTTGATTGGTGCACTGACTGTGTGTGCACCAATCATCAGGACACCGAATCCCATTAAAATTTGCCATTACCTGCTCCTGCATGAGAGTGGCCAATTTGCAGACACCCCAATCAAACAGTAGTCTCACTATGCCCCATTCCTCTTTGGGTAATAGTGGGTGCGCCCTGAACGTGAACCACATAGTGCAGGTTTGTGGCAAACAGGCAGAGTTTTTAGTCTTGAAATGGTGCGTGCAACTTTTGCTGACCTAAATCCATTATGTGGAAGAATTTTGGCCCATTCATCTTTACAATGTTGCTTTAGTTCGTTGATGTTACATATGCACAGTCCTCTTAAGGTGCCATCACAGCATTTCTGGACTTTGACCAAGCTATTACAACACCTCGAGTCTTTTGTTTTTGCAGCCATTCGGTTGTACGTTTGCTCGTGTGCTTGGGATCATTGTGCTGTTGCATGACCCACCCACACATGACCTCACATTTGACTGAAACAAAGTGCCCAGGTTTTGTGACTCTAAAACAAACCCATGTCATAGTTCATATGAGATGTGTGTCCTGGTACGCTTTGGTTTTGTCTGTCTTGTGGTTTGTTTGGACGCAACTTTGCAAACCAGTTGGAAGCAGCTGGTTGCTATGGAAGGAGTAAACATGTACTAAGAGGCCATGGCGAATCGCTCATACCTTATCAGCTTATCAGTCACCAGTCATGAGCTAATGAGCATGCTGGGTTCCTTGGTCAACAATCTAAGATGCCGCCCCCCCCCCCCCCCCACACACACACAGACACACACTTGAGAGTGGGAAAAGACAATAAGGCTGTGAATGCAACTGGTGAAAAAAGCAGCAAATATAAAGGTCCAGGTCAGTTCTTGTGTGTTGCAGCAAGTGTGTGTGTATTAAGGTAAGGTTTTGGTGCTCACTTATTAAAAGCGCTCAGCAGTTGTGCCTTTTTCTCATCTGTTTGAGGGTACTTCAAACTCAAAGATAGGCACATATTTTTCTTTTTTTTCCTAACATTAAAAAAATTGAATATCAGACCCAATTTCATCAATCACAGTTTTTGCTACTTGGGTTGCCTCATGGGAGACTTCATTTGCAGCAGTAATCACAGGGCAAAAGACTGCAGAGAGAGATAAAAAGACGAACACACAAAGAGGGATAACTCCTCATGATCTCCTCACAGCAGCATGAGCTGACGGTATCCCAGTGGCAATGTTGCCTTCCCCCCACCCCTTTGTGCCCACACACAAAAAAGACGAATCTTAAAATCTATGAAAAGAAAGTAAAACATGACAAAAAGCCCACAAGAAGCTGCAACTTGTGTCAAGTCTCAAGAGTTTGCTTCATACGGCGGTCCCTCACCAAGGACTCCCAGAGGACTGTAAGCAAGTCTTACTAGAGCCAGATGGCCCTGATCTTAGGTATTCAGCTGCTGCAGTAACAGCCAAGGAGGTGTCACAGTCAATGCAAAACACAACCTGCCATTGCCACCAATAAACACATGCACACACAAACAGTGGAGACAACAGATGAGAACGCAGGGTACTGTCATTGTCACGGTATAGTAAAAAAAGACATGGATTCAAGCTAGACTGCACATATCTTTAGATAAAAAAAGAGAAATGCTGTATCGTGAATTCCTGCATGCGCAGATACGATGGTAGATGAATGAACTATAAGCACAGGGTGTGGTCAGCTGCAGCTATTTAGCTGGTACCATTTTAGACAAGCATTGAATTGTGAGTTTGGTGGACACTGTGCTGTTGCTAATTTCATTTCAAACTCTGAGCGAATCCCATGTGCTCTCATGGCAGATGAGTTTTCAGTATGGCAGAGAAAGCTATATTGCAGTCTTTTGGTCTGTGTGCTTATCAGTTACACCGCATACTGTCCAAATAAACTATATGGTCTTACTGTGAGAGAATATTTCTTGCCCTCTGCATATATATATGTATATATATATATATATATATATATA